TTCAGATGCAGTGTTTTAGAAAATGATGAGTGAAACCATCCCACTGCAGTCTTAAGAAGGTCACTTGAGGATGGACATTTGGGCACTTGCTCCTTCCTCCTTGCCACCAAATATTTTCCTTTTTAAATAACCTTGGAACATATCCTTTAATATAGGAGTCACAAAACGGTGGCTCAGTGACTCAATTTGGCTTGCACATATGATTCTTCTGAGTCACAATTTTAAAAAATAAATGAGTTGCCAAGGTGAAAAAAAGTTATGAGCTTTTATATAAAAATCCTTATTATTGGTTTCTCTGGAAAAAATTGGCAGACCCAACAATACTGGGAAGCATTCTCAAACTCACTCATTAATTCACCCATCAAATGTCTGTAAGTCGTTTACATTTAGAAGGCTCTATACAAGGCGCTAGGGAAACAGTGGTGAAAAATGGGGAGAAGTCCCAACTCTCACAGGGCTCACATTCTAGACAGGAAAGAATTACAGTGTTTTTAAAATTAATGGTAAAAGAATTAATGCAACTGGGTCACTGATTTGGGTTATAAGTGAAAGCTTCTCAGAGGGGATGGCATTTGAGCAGAGATTGAGATGAGGGGAAAGAATCCATCAGGCAGGAATCAGATGGGAAGAGGAGATGGGCTGGGAAGAAGTTCATTGTGGCTAGGGATCCCAAGAAGGAAAGTGTGGCTAGGGAATAGTTGTGGGGAGAGTGCTATGAGATGAGGTTAGAGAGTGGCAGAGGCTGACTGGCTCCTAAGGCACTTTATAACGAGGCTGGATCTGTTATAAAATGGAAGTCGTAGATAGCTTTAAGCTGATTTGATGTATATTTTGAAAAGGTCATTCTTCCTACATTGTAGAGAATGAGAGGAATGGGGCAGGAGAGAAGGTGAGAGACTCACTGCCCACTGCATAGTTCAGGTGAGAGATGATGGCAGCTCAGACTGACAACTGAGTGGACAGCTCAGACTGACAGCTGGCAAGGAAAATGGGGTAGATCCTGAGGAGTAGGAAAGGCTCCTGGACAGCCACCTCAGCCTCCCAAAGTGCTGGGATTAACATGTGTCAGACACCACATCCAAACAAGAGAAGTGGGTCTCATTCAGACCATATTTTAGAGAGTGTGCAGGACTCACTCATAAATTGGATGGAAGTGAGGGAAAAAAAGAGAAATGAAAGATGAAGGCTAGAGTCAAGGCTTAAATTGTGTTTATCTTAACCAAGATGAGGGATACTAGAGAAGTAGCAAGTTTTGGCTAGTAGGAAGTTAAGCATTCTTTCTGGGCTATATTAGGTAGGAGATGTGAACTAAACGTACACACAGGGATATCATAAAGGCAGTTGGATCTTAGAGTCTGGAGTTCTGGGGATAAGTGTGGACTGGAGATGAAAATGTAAATGTGGGTGCTGTTTCTTGTCCTGGCAAGAAACAGATGACACACTTAAAAAAGGAGGAGAGTTTCATGAAGGGACTGTATAAAGTTGTGGGCAAATAGTTAAGGAAAACCAACAAGGGATGGCTAAGCACTCCAGAGCTAGCAAGAAAGGGGAGCCATCTTCACCCTGGAGATCTTCAGGGTCAAGGGGAAGGAGGGCTATCAGGAGCTGGAGAGAGAGAGGCTGTTCGTGCCATTTCATGGACCTGGTGAGGAGGGTACCCGGGGAGTCAAGGTGGTGACGTCATCCCTCCCCACCCTCCAGTCTCCTGATGACTCCTCCCACTGGACATGCAGACCAGGAAACCAGAGGACAAGGAGATCACACAGGCCAGCCTTGAAGTACACAAAGCTGGTCTCCTGATTTTGCATGAGGCAAGATCATCAGCTGAAGGCTGCTTTTGGGAGAGGTACGGTGAGCTGGAGCAAGTGGAGAGGAGAGGAGAGAGAGCTGTTTTGGAGTATGAGAAAACAAGCACAGGAGAATGGAGTAGATCCTGAGGAGTAGGAAAGGCTCCTGGAATCCACCAGCTATAGGTTTAAAGTGAGGTCAGCATGTTTTCTTCCCCAGCAAAACTCAGTTGCTCAGGTGCAAGTGTGCAGCAAGGGAGTGGCTTTGCGAGGTGAGCATGACAGAGGCAGAGATGGGTGGGAAGGAGAATGGTGCTTGCATGGAAATGTCACTTGGGAAAGGTCAGCTAGATCTGAGATACTCTGCCCACTGTGGCTCACCACGGACACCCCCGGCCCTGGCCTCATTTCATTCATTTCACCTCACTTACCTGGCCCTGGAGGACATTATGCTTAGTGAAGTAAGCCTGGCATGGAAAGGCAAACATCACATAGTCTTATTTACATGTGGAACCTACGGAAGTTAAACTTACAGAAGCAGAAAATGGAATGGTGGTTGCCAGGAGCTGGGAGTGGGAGGGATTGGGGAAATGTCCACCAAAAACATGAAATTTCAGTTAGACAGTTGGGATAAGTTCAAGAAATCTGTTGTTCAATGTGGTGACTATAGTTAAAAATGAACTGTATACCTGAAAATTGCAAAGGCAGGTTTTTTGTTGTTGTTTTGTTTTGTTTGTTTTTGAGACAGTATCTCGCTCTATCACCCAGGCTCCCAGGCTATAATGCAATGACACAATCTCAGCTTACTGCAACCTCTGCCTCATGGATTCAACTGATTTTCCTGCCTCAGCTTCCTGAGTAGCTGGGATTACAGGTGCACGCCACCATGCCCTGCTAGTTTTTGTATTTTTAGCAGAGACGGGGTTTCACCATCTTGGCCAGGCTGGTCTTGAACTCCTGACCTCATGATCCATCCACCTCGGCTTCCCAAAGTGCTGGGATTACATGTGTCAGACGCCACACCCGACCAAGACAGTAGATTTTAAGTGTTGGTACCACAAAAGGTGAAAAGTATGTGAAATAATGTATATATCAAGTAATGTTAATTAGCTTGATTCAGCTATTCCACATTGTATACAAATTTCAACATGTTGAATACTACACATATATACAATTATTATTTGTCAATTAAAAACCAACAGTTAAAAAGAATCAAACCTTAGTTGATGAAGTAAGCACACTTTATCTTTTCACAAGTCTACTCAGGCTTATAATCATTTCATCATCTCTTTAGTATAGACCTTTGACTCTGATGCCAGGCTTTGTGAATTCAATCTCGGCTTTGGCAGCTGTCTGGCCTTGGGCAGGTCACTTAACTTCTCTGTGCTTCAGTTTCCTTACCTGTAAAACAGAAATAATAATGATACCTCCTTCAAAGGGTTGTTTGAGGATCAAATACGTTTAATGCTTATAAAATACTTAGAACCGCACCTGACTTGTAGTCTGTGCTGTATAAATGTTAGCTATGTGATTGTTACCATTATTATCATGATGTGTTAAGAGCACCAAAGAGGGAGAGAAAATGGTCAAAGGAAGTGGAGGCAGGTTACTTTCCCCGACTTGGATGCTTTCTCCTTTCCCGTTCTTCCTGTGCCAAGGTAGACTGATTGGGTTCTTAGCCACATTTTCTCTCAAGGTCAACAGTCAGCTAGGATTTATTTTTCTCTTAATTTTTTTTGTGACATAGATGACAGCTGGCATTTAAAGAAATAGTGGAGAGGTTGCTAGGATAGAGCAAGCATTAGACTTGGATTCAGAAGTCCTGGGGCTGGCTGAGCCCCAGCATGGAATGACTGGGCAGTCCACGACAACCTCTTTAGTTTATAGATGAGGACACTGAGTCCCAGAGATTTTGGCTTCAAGATCTTCAAGACCTCATGTGGGTCCAAAAGTCTTAACTTTGGTTTCCAGTGGGTGCTAATTATAAATCCAAGTCCTGTGAAAACATAAAAAGGAACCTAGGAATCAAATGGTCAAGAATTGTGTTGATTTCTGCAGCCCTGGTCAAGAAAAGGCCATGTTTATAGCTGGCATTCAATCTCCTGTTGGGAGTGGTAAAGGCACAAAGCCAGGGATTTTGTTAGTTCTTGGATCCAGAAGGTTGTACGGTTGTTCCAGTGAGTTTTATCACCTCGCTAGTACTGAAAGGGCACAGGCCTTTGGTGCTGTTCTAGGCACTGTGATTTCAAATAGTGCTTGAATGATCTTTTTTCTTATCCAGAATATCTTTGACACAGCCAATGCACTGTAGAATCACCTATAGACATTTAAGTCAGATTAGGAGATTTTCTTTTTGATTGCTTCATCTCATTCTCCTTCTACCCACCTATTCCTTCAATAACCTCTACTCACCCCCTTCCAGTGGTCAGCTGAGCTTTGCTCTAACAATGAGAAGAAAACCCCCATTTAGTGCATGCTCTCAGGGCTGGATAGCATGGGAATTGGTCCACCCAGCTTTGGAGTAAAATAAGTTATGAACCTCGGAGGAGGTTTGACAGAGGAACCCACTGACTTATGTCTTTTGTTTTTCCCTCCCTGGCCTCCTCAACTCTCTCTCACTTCGGCTGACAAGAAAAGGTGCTTTCAGAGTGACAAGGTTGATATTTTTATTTGACTGAGAAAACCACACACTTCTGCCCCCTCTAATATATATCTGACCAGACTGTGGGACTTTAGGTGTTGCATCTAACTTCCCCACCAAGGTCCCAGGGCTCATTGCCCACATGTTCCCACAAGCGGCATCAAAGGCTGTTTTCAAAAATGAAAGACGAGTGAGCAGACGCAGTGTGTCACATCAGCAACTTTTTTTTCCCCAGTTCCTTTGCAAATGGAAGTTTATGAAAAGGAGCACTAACTCAAATCACAGAATCCTATGTTTGAAGTAAATGGTCTTGCAACAAACATTTCCGTCTGCAAATGTCTAAACCTTTCAAAAGATGAAAGGAAATTAATGCTGGCGTGTTTCATTAATTTGGCACCACCATGGAGGAAATGTGGGACTCATTTCATTTGGGTGGATTATGAAACGTGTCAGTTTTTCCATTCTCTTTCTCCAGGGCATTTTTTTACTGCAAGGCCTGTCATGATGACATCACAGATCCCAAAAGAATAAAAAAATGTGGCTGCAAACGGCGTAAGTAATGCTTCTCTCCCCGTCCCCTCCCTCTCTCATTCCTATTCCCGAAATTCCATTTCCTTCCCTTTCCTTGTTAGAGAAACACTAAACATCAAGAGTTTTCTTGAGTATGTTTATGTTTCACCCAGCAGTTTAAAGAAATAGGAAATAAATACCTGTCCTCACTTTGATAGAGCAGGGGATGAAAAATCACCACCATCCACACCTGGGAATGAACCCTGTGCCTAGTCCCTGCTTCTTCACCCTAGAGGTGACTCAGTAGGTGCGTCTAGTCTAACCGAGACGAGTACGATGAATAATAAGGAGGATAATTAAGCCGTAGAGAACAGAACAAAGTGTTTTTGTATAGTGATTTCCAGTAGATTGGGGACCCCCGACTATATAGGGTTGAGAGAGAAACTAAATCTGAGGACTTGATCTCCAAAGTGGGAGTTGACTCTTTCCATTTGGAATTCCTGCCAGTTTTAATACCACAGGCTAAAGTTTGCAAACTGTGATACCTTCAGACTGCCCCCAAGAAACGAACTTTCCATTGTCTAAGGGCTTACATTGCCATCATCCCAAAGGTCGACCTCAATCACCATCGCTCTTTGGGGTAGACTGGACTGAGCTCAGTTGTTTCTGGCATATCCTGTCTCAAGTCCCTTCTAAAGCAGTTTGCTGCTGGGGCCTCTTGAGAAAAATAGGGTAAGTCCAGATGTGGAATTGTGAGCTCCTGAGATACCATGACTTAAGTGGCCTTTGCTTTGAGAAGGTTGTGCCTTTTGCAGTAATTATGCTGTATTGTCTAATAGAAATTGTTCTCAACCCTTGAAAAACAACAAAAAATAATGGTGCCATCCTTCCTATGGTGTTAGTGTTTTAAAAGCTTCTTATGATCACTGCTTTGATTCTCACCCAAACCCCATGTAATTGGCAGGAGGTGTTATTAATCCCATTTTACAAAAAGAAGGAACTAAGCTTCCAAATTTGAGAGGATGAGATTGCAAAGAGTTACACAGCCAACATACAGGGATTTGGGCACACCTGAAAGCCTCTCTTGAGTCTCTTGTGCTCTCACAATTTTTTCAGGATGGAAAGGCAAGATGGGCAGTCTTAGGTCTGATGAGTAAGAACAATTATGAAAGATCACCCCATAAAATACTTTTTCATAAGCAGAAGTCAGACAGAAGAGGTATGCCACTGAAGGAAGGACCTTTTTCACTGTATTCCTAGAGGGGGGTTCAGAAAATGTAGAACCAGTCATCTATAAATATCCCTCAGCTGGAGCATAACGAAGTTCCTCAATCCATGGGGAAAATTCCACTGGGGTGCACTGTTGGTCTAGAGAAATTTCTGCAGAAATCCCCTCAGGATGGGACAGCTTAGGCCCATGGGGTTTCTCCCCTGCTTTCCACTGACTTAACACACCTGGTCCCCTTTCCCCAGACTCTTACCAAGATGAGTGTTTATTGATGTCTCAAAACAAGAGCCTCTAATTTCTTGGGATCTAAGAATTTCCCGATTCTGACAACCTACCAAGGAGAGCATCTAAGAAAGAACAAGGCATAGAACAAACCTGACTCCTCATTCAACCCCCATAGACTCCATGAATCAGAGGACTTTCTTCACCAGGCAGTCCATCCCAGCCATGCTCAGTTGGTTGCAGACACAGCAATGCAGCAGAGTTGACCAGACATCTCCTACATCATTTCAATCAGAAGGTACACAACAGTCTGAGGGTTGACGCAATAAGACAGAACAACAAATACAAGAGATGAACTCTTCTGTAAAGATACTCAAGTAGTGAGGGGTTGGGAAAGGGAGGAAAGTGAGGCCAATAACCCATGACAGAATATCAAGGAGTTAGCAAGACTGTGATTCACATATTGGTTGACTGTTCACTTATTTTTGAGTATCTTCTTTGTATGAGGTGCTATTTTTGGTTCCAGGAACGGAGTGGTGAACAAGGTAAATTCCATGCCCTCCTGAAACCTTCACTCCGGTGAATGGAGACAAACCATGATCATGTATGATCAAGTAAATAAATTCAGAGACAGCCAGTGCTAAGAAGAGAGAAGAGATAGCTTGAGGGCTGAGGAATACTGCAGTGGTGCTACTTTACAGCTTGGAAGGCCAGGAAGGCCTCAGTCGGGGTGATGTCAGGAAGGCCAAGACGCAATCCAGACAGGGAGAAGAGCAAAGGCCAAGATCAGGAGGCAGGAATGAGTTTGTAGTGTTTTAAGGATGGAATAAAGGCCAGTGGCATTGGGAAGATAATAGTATGAGATGAGATTAGAGAGGGAGGGTGGTGCCATGGTAAGAAGTGTGGGTTTTAGTCCTATATTGGGAAGCCATTGGAAGATTTTAAGCGGGGAAATGTCATCATTAGTTCTTAGTTTAAAAGATGTCCATGGTGTTTGGATGGAGAACATTCTCAGGAGGAAAGAGTAGAAGTGGAAGTATGAAGTGAGAACTTCTCTGACTCTTGCTCTGACATTGGAATGTCCCTCATAGGACACCATAGCAGAACACAGCAGACTAAGTTGTCCCTAGAAACAAGAAATAAGGATTTGGCCTCAAGGCTATTTTTCCACCTTGGTTCCAGACAAGTAAACAGCAGCAGACCTTAGCTTCATCCTGGAGAGAGAGGCACATAATTGTTTGAAATAATTTTATTCTTTTCATTTCCCTTCAAGTTGGTGAAGCTAGTATGGTATGTAATCTCCCATACGCACTGCACCAATTGCTGCAAAAGGCCTGCTTCTACAAAGCCACGCCAGTGTGACAAGGGCCTCGCTTCCTTCTCTTCCCTCCTCCCCCAACGTCAGCTTCTTCATCTCACAAAGGCCCTTGGCTATGTGACAATCAGAATTGCCCAAATATTGTTCTTCTTGATTAAAAGGCCATAGAACAGAGGGCAGGATGCAGATGTGTGTGGGGGGTAAGGGGGTGATTAGAATAAAATGAATTATTGAAAATAAACCTCCCCATGTAAGTCAGGCAAGTGAGGAAATTGGAGAAGATATGTTTTGGTTGCAAAGAAACTTTAATTGGAAGAAACTAGGATTATTAATAACACACTGGGCGGACTCCCATGCCTTCAAACAGACATTGCTTGTTTGCCTGTCTAAGTTGGAGAAGACAGCTGACCCACATACTCATCTGTCCAAACCTGTTAGTCGAAGGAATTAATAATTCACCCTGGAATGATGGATTCCGTGAGGACAGAGCTCATGACGATCACTGGCCCTTCCCCACAGCTTCCTAACCCTTCTTCCCCAACCCAGTCTTCCCCTTTCACTTCCACCCCAACCTCCCCATTTCACTTTCATTCAGTAACCGTCAACATTTCACATCATCTCATCCGGAGAAATATCAGGTGCGGACATTCCATTTCTGGAAATCCTGTGATCGTATAGCTTAACGTTTGCATTTCTTTCCATTTCTTCATAGCTCTCTAGCAAGGAAAAGAGTCAAATTCAGCTGTCTGGCCAAGGAGCAAGTTCTCAGGATCTACTATTTATCCATTTTCTTTTTCTGTATAATAAACCTTGTCTAATGATTTACATTTTTTCCCCCAGCCTCTAAAAGTTTGCCAAAGTGTGGACTCCTAGGGGACAAGTCATGTCTACTTTGATGTGTTAGAAGGAATTTCTTTGACTTCAAATCATTGACATATCTTTGATTTATTTTTTTTCTCTTTGCTGCCTTGGAATACGGCCCCTACTCTATTTTAACTGCACACTGGTAGTGATATATTGTGAGTAAAACGGGTTCCCAGCAGCCCGGAGTCCAGTTCCCCCTGTCTTTCTCTAGAAGCGATACTCTTTTAATTTTCTGTACAGTTTTAGTTTCCTTTTTACTTTTGGTATTTATGTTGCATGTAGCAGTGACATCATGCCACAACTCCTTCATCTCCCAATGCAGTCTACAGAGTAGCCTGGAGCCGGAGAGTCCACAGGGAACCTGCTCTCCATCCATCCACCCCAGTCCCCAGGCTCTGGTCAGCTTTGGGCACTGTCTTATTTTTCCATTTGAAAATAAGACCTTGACAACAGTGTGTTTCTCTTGAAGGCCTTGTCTCAGGACTTTTAAGGGACACTGATTAGACTGAAGTAATTACCACTGTAGCTCTAGATGCTTCATCAGCTGGGGTAATTGTCATGCTTGCCTTTGATAAATTATACTTGGTCTCCTTTGCTATTAAGCTTGAATTCCTTTCCTAAAGGAAACACATTTGCCGCATATATAGTCCCATGTTGTCATACATATATGTATACACAATATCTACCATGATGTAAAAATGCATATTTTTCCATATAAGAGTAGAGAGATTCCATAGAGTGATGTGTTTATTGCAGTATATGCCTCTCTGTATGAGAAGTGCTTGCTAGATAATTAATTGGTTACTCAACTTTGGGACTGTAAGTATCTCAATTGTCTTACCAGAGACAAGCATTTGCACAGTGGTAATTATTTTCTGCAGTCTATGAAGTTCCCTTGCTTTACAATAAAGTTTTTCTTTTAGTCAGTACTCAGTAGGATACACCCAGTTCCTTTATGAGTGTTAGTCAGACATCTTGGAAGATACATTTACCTATTTAAGGCAGAAAAGCTGACTGAGGTGAACATTCCATTTCAGCAATGAGCTATGTCTAAGTCTGAACAAGTCAATGTAAGTGTCTGAGCCTCTAACTTACTCAAGGAATAGGATGCCCTCTCACTCAACAAAATGTGGCCATTGAGGAGGAGCTTTTAAGGCCAGCATTGAGCTTTGGGTCTTTAATCATGTTTGTAAGACTCTACTGAAAAGGAGACCCAGTCTGTGGCACAGTTCAGTCCAATGACTCTGGAATTTGGAGAAGATGTTTCAAATTCAGTCCTCTCATTCCTTTGCAGAAAAAGAGGCAAGTTGATTATCTGATTTGGGTTAATCATCAGTGTTTGCATGGTATCAATTGCTCACTTTAAAAACAAAACACAATGATGATCTTCTTCAATTCAATGCGCAATCTTGCCAAAATTGACTCTGTGGCTTTCTTCATTGACAGAATCCTTTAACACACGGCTAGAGGGCATGGCCCACTTTCACACCTGCAGAGTTTCCTACTAAATTGAACACTCCTTCAGAATTGGAGAGAAAATATGATGTCAAACAACCAGCAACTCTAGTGCCAAATACTTCTGCCTTCCTCAGCCACAATATGGTCATTGAGGGCAGAATCAACTAGCTCAGCATGCTCTGTGCTGCCAACATTAACTAGCTTTTTCTTTCTCCTCTGTTTTTGGAAAACCACCTGGAAGACCTTCCTTCTTACTCCAGAAGGTAATGGGAGGAATTTTACTAAGTGAAGATGTCGATCCTCATTTATAAGACTTGAAAGAAGATTCTCTGATTCCCTGTGCCACATCAAAGGCCTCACCTTAAATCCTGGTGGACTTTTTCTTCCGTGGATTTTTGTATTAGTAATGTTAGTTGCTTCAGAGCACATGAAGAGTAGCTCCAGGGTTTATGCTTGGAAATAAGCCTCCTTCATTGGACTGATTTTGAAAGCGAGGTTGTGACCTGAAAAGTATCTATTAATTGAATGGCAGATGTTTTTTTCTTCCATCCCAGTCTTCCCTTGAATTTACTCCATTTGAAATCTAAAATATTTTTCCCCAGCAGTTGGAATACTCCACCTGGGCTCCTCAATCCAGCACTGCTTTTTCCTGCCCCTTCCAATCCATCCTGGAAATTAAGATTCTGCAATTGGAAATTGGCTGACAATTTGGTTGCTGATGCAGGAGGCAGATGGTGCTGAGGATAGGATGGAATCCAATTCTTTCTTTCATTCCAGGCTTGGCTCAGAAAGGCCAGCCAGCAGAGAACCTGAGTTTGACAGCCGATTATCCATTTGACTCAAGGAAAGAGTAGTAACTGAGCTGCGTCTTCGGCAGCCCCTTTCCAACAGGTTTCTGGTCTCATTCTTACAGCAGCCTTTGAGAATACAGGAAAAGTTGTCCAAGAACACCTCTGAGAAATCTTTTTGTTTTAAACACTCAGGAGTAAACATAGTTTTGACGATGTCCATTAGGAAAATACTTTTATTTTATCTCTGTAAATAGTACTAGGAAGTCATAATGGAAATATTGGCTGGATATCCACTTCACTGTGGTGAAGAAAAGCACATAAAAGCTTTTTCTCAAATTGCGAAACTTCTAGGACCTAGGTCTTTGGGGAAGGTGAGACCCAGGGTCAAATTCTTAGCAACCACATAACCTCATGGACTCTGTGCCCTGGTCTAATAACAAGAACCTTATGATGTGGCCAGAGGGTAAACTGAGTCCCTAGAGCCTTGTATTTCTGCTTTCCTAGAGTTAAGTTTGCCTATGGGGGCAATTAATTGAGCATGAAATTTCAAGAGCCCTAAGATGGAATGAAAGTAGCTTCGGTGTTCACACTTGCCAGAGACACACTCTTGTCTGCTCCCAGTCTGAGGAAGCTGCAGCAGGGCTTTGAAAGAAGACCCTGTCTGTTGCCACTGAAATAGTCCTACTGTGCTGGCTGTGGCTGCAGACCCTAGGCTCATCTCCTAGGACCTCTCACCCTTTCATTTCCCCTACCCCTAATCATCTGCTGTGGATCGTGAGAAGCCATTGAATTGAAATGACACGGCACATATTTCAATTCTTAGAGACAGCAGGGCCCTCTTTCTGCTCCTTTTGGAGAAAAGCTAGTTCCAATTGTCAGTGAACTAGCTGCTCTTCCACATAGATCCACTAGATGTCCTCATAGATCTACTTTGTATTACCATTGACTTCCCGGGGAAAACCTTGTCTGAGAATTGGGATTTGGGAAGGGAACAATGGGTGACTATGTAAGAAAGAAAATTAGCAAACACCAAAGGAGAGAGGATGTTTTGTGTGGCCAGGGAGTAGATAAGAAACTTACTTCTGTTTTAAATAAATCCTGAAACTTTCAAAGTTGCACTTTGAGACCTAACCTTGGGAACTTAAAGTGGAACTCTTTGTATCCAAAATTAACCTTCTAACCTAAATCAGCTCTAGAAAAGGAAACAATCATTGAGAAATGGAAACACAACACCAGCGGCTCTGAATATCCATAACTCACTGAAACAAAACTGAAGGATTAGGAAGCTGGAGAGAGATGAGGGTTGGTAATTTCCAAATTAGGAGGTCCACGACTTAATTTAGATATAATTCAGTTTTACAACTTGAGAGTATAATTTTACACAGTGTTCAATTCTTCTGGAACACCTACCACCAGGAAGACAACTCCTGATCAGCTTTTAGTTAAAGAGCTTTTTCATGATTTGTATAATGGCCCAGAGGAGATCTCTTCCTGGCCAGTACTCATATCCTTCAAGCCTGATGAATCAATCACTCCACCACATGGGAGGTCTTACCTTTTAAGAAAGTGGACCCAGAAGTCTCTAGGTGAAGACACCTGACAGGGAGTCAATGGAAATGGACTATGCCAGCAGTAGCGAAAAAGAGCCACCCTCCCAGTTGGTGGCACCTTGATCTAAACATTCTGATTCATGAAGGTTTGTCAACGTGTGGGGCTCATTCGTTTTTAGCTGTTTCTGTCTTGTCTTTGAGCCTCTCATTGATCATTCTTGCTGATTTTTTTTTTTTGTGTGTGTGTGTGGTGGTACTTGTTTGTCTTTTGAGATTTATATTTTGCATTTGGTGTGAGTGTAAAAATGACTGGGAAGGAATGACGAGTAATAGCATGTTTTCTTTTTTATGCATATGCTGCTTTCGAATGTGACTGCTTATAATTAACAGTTAATCTTCTTATAGCAAATGGTTTTTTGCTGCTTCGATGACCAGTTTCAGTCTGTTCCTGCATGCTAACAATAAAAAATTTTAGAACAATGCATGATCACCAGAAATAACAGTTGCAAACAGTCCCTGAGAGCCACTGGTTTGTCGCTGTGTTTCCTCCTGAACTTCTATCAAGTAGGAGGTTTACATCACCTATTCTGATCCATTTGCCTCTGAAAAAAATAGTTTCAAAAGTTATTTCATCCCCATCATCCCTCCCCTTATCCTTATAGATGGTATATTTATAAGATCTTTCTCTCCCCGTAAATGTGTCATATTCTATTATTGTATATAAGCCCAAAACGGCACTATGGAAATGAGAACCAGGGACTGTTGCTAATGAGAAGCACAGAATTCCAGAGTTTGATGGGCTTCTCTTCTGCTACAGCATTTGATTTAAAAAATTGTTTTTCAAAACGATTTATCTGCAGCGAAACAAAAAATCATTCTTGTTTTCCTCTTCTGTGTAAATAACAAATCAATATTTCCAGTAAAAGAACTAAGAAGGAGAAAACAAGGGAGTGTCTGCAGGTTGTATGCCAGATCCGGATGCATTTAAGATAAATTTATGTTCATGACTTTAACTGAAGACTTTTTTCCCTTTCTTGACTTTAGCCATTGCTGTTTCTTTGGGATGTCTGGGCATTCACACCATGCCTTCTAAATTCCTCTGATTCAAATGCTATAGTGGAACTTTTTTTTTTTTTTTTTTTTTTTTTTTTTGGTAAAAGCTAAAGCTCAAAGGAATGATATACCACTATCGAACAGGGCTGGGGCTGCATGATGATCTGAACAACAGACTAGCTAGGACACTAAAAGAACATGTCACTAAAAATGTGAGCCAAGTTTACAAGAATGGAGTTGCTGCTGAAGAGATCTCTCATTCATCTCCCCCAGTGCCTGTTCTTCACAATCATAACGTTACCCTTGCTTGACAAATATACTGTATGGCAAGTCATAAAGGTCTTAGAACAGGACTTGACCCATTTGAGAGATTTAAAACCCCTCTTCCTGGTGACTGTAACATTCAAAGAGGGCAAAACCACAGCCATATTTTAAAATAAGAGTGCAACCATTCTCTCCAAAGAAAAAGAAAGAGGCGGGGGGAAACGACCTTTCAAAATGGAAGGTGTGGATGCAGGAGAAACACCTCCTCAGTTTAGTTTCACTGTTTGGCGGTTGTGCTTAGAATAAATATGAATTCTTCTCCCACCTCGTGAGAGAAGCAGGCCAGTTCATGCTAAGTGATAAGCAAACATGTTTGCCTGTTGTAGCATCAAAATGAGGTACAAAAACCTTCTCTTGTACTGAAATATAAATTGGCTTGAATGGCAAAGGGGAAGGGCATTGGAAACTACGATGCTGACTTCCAGCAACTTTTATAGGTTACCACGCAGTTTGGATCCCCAGGCAGTGCAGAACCTACCATACCAGCTTTAGAAGAGCTATCAATGCTGCATGCAAATTGCATTAAGATATTTCACACGAAACCCATTCTTTTATTTCATGTTCTATCATTTTTAATTGATTTTGGCCAATATTTTCTGTATATATATATAAAAAAGAATATGATTATCCACTAGCCTGATTGCTTCCTGAATTTCTGTTGGGTGGGGAGAGAAAGGCAGATGCGATATTCAGATCCTCTCAGCTTTAAGCAGAAAAATACACCCATGAGTAGCTAAATGCATTCCAATAGAGCAACATCTCGTATGCTTTTGGTGATTTCTTATTTGTGAGCTGCCTTTAATGTGAAATCTGCAACATTAGTCTTGAGTAGCTGCATTTCTTATATGGACAGATTTGGATATTTGTTCTGTCAAGAGTAAATTTAAATTCCTGTAGCCATCATGTAAGCTCACTCTCAGGAAGTTCAGCAAAGGCATCCTCAGATCCTATGTTAACACGTAATCGTTTACCATCTAATTTGATGAAAGCTTGTCCCAGCCTCTGCCTAATGCCCAGAAATGGATGGAAATTAGAAAGCCTACATATTAGATGTTTTTGCATCTTGCGAAGACCATTTATTGTGCCAAATAAGCAATTAATTTAATTGATTGGCAGTGTGTATATTTTGTCCTCCTGCATCAATCGTATCAGGGGAAAAGTGTTGTTACATTTTTTGCTGTCTGTAATTTGCTCTTCTTCCCATTCAAGAACCCGAGTGTATTCAGCCATGCCCTTTTCCTGTGGTCACCGCTTTACTTAGGGAAGGAAAATCATGTGCAACAGCCTTGGGGGACGATAAAGGCAATTTATATTTTCGCTGCTTTTTTGATGTACAACCAAACTGTTACCAACAATCACTCTGCATTTTTTTCTGGGTCAAGACTGTTAAAGTGAACTAAGACCTGTGTTAAATCCCTTCAGCTCCCTTCCAGCTGCCTTGCTGTGTGTGACCTTGCCATTAACTGCCGCTCTTCCTCTCCTCCATCCAACCACACGGTTATAGCCAAGATGTCCATCTACAAGAGAATGAGACGGGCATGTTGTTTTGATTGCGGACGTTCTGAGCGTGACTGCTCGTGCATGTCAGGCCGTGTGCGTGGTAACGTGGACACCCTTGAGAGAGCCTTCCCACTTTCTTCTGTCTCTGTTAATGATTGCTCCACCAGTTTCCGTGCCTGTAAGTTTAACCTCGACACACGCCGTTCCGTGTTTGTGCTGTCTTGTGATATCATCCCTGTCTTGTGCTGTGCCTTGTGGTTGTGAGTCAGTCGGGCTGATGTCTTCTTCCCAGTGTGAATTCCTGTGTGGTGACATGTTACCCCAGCTGCCTGTGTCTCTGTGGACGTGCTGAGGAAGGATTCCCTTCTGATTTTCTTAACTTGTGCTTCTCGTAATAGCCTGCAGGACTGTGATATTACCGTCTGGTGATATCTTTCCTCTCTCTCCTTTAAATAAATATAAATGGAAATTAAAGTGACAGCATATCACCTACTGTATTAATACAGAGATATGTGGAAGTGTACATCTTAATATTTTGGGAATGGCTCTAAATTGAATTGTATCAAAGGGAGGAAGGAAAAGGTGTAGAGAGAACAAGCCAGCTCTAGCATTAAATTGCTTTTAGTGAGCTTAGATAGTTTATTAGATCGTTCCCAAAATGCAACAGAGTTTTGATGCAGATGGGTATATATATATTAATATATGTAATTTTTTTTTCTTTTTACTGTGTCTCTCTGACTTGTGCCTCATTCCTCCAGTGCCAGATTTTGTCTTGTGTTCTGGGAAAGAGTATTCTGTGTCTGTCAGCCTGCATGGGCTGGTGGATTCCAGAGCTTTTTCTCAGAAAGATGACTATTTTAAAGGACTGTTTTATTAATCTCTTTTATTTGTCCAACAATGTAGTCCTTGTATAACTAAGGTGTCTTGTAGCAATTGTGATTCCAAATACCAACAAAAAATGTAAGTCAGAAACCTCTGTGATTTCCCTGAGTCCATGTCAAAGGCCTCTGATGTCAGTCTTCTTTGTATCCACAAGCTCAGAGATGTTAAAGAACCTGTCAAGGTTATGCAGCTAGTAGCTGGCAAGGCTGAGATGTGCCAGTTCCCTGAGACCTCCCTTATCCTTGCCTTCACCATAGACTTTGCTGTTTTGCTGATATGGTTCATCAGTGAAGTTCCTGGAAGCGCCAGTTTGAGACCCTGAGCCTGTGGTCTTGGTCCAAGGGCAGAAGAGGCTGTGGTTCCACTGCAGGGCTTTACTGGAAGTGTAACTGTAACTGTGTTTTCACATTTTGGTAGCATAGAAGGTAGGAGATGGTTCTCGTCTCTGCACTTCATCCTTTCCTCTTTAAAGCACCCAACACATTGATTGCTAACCTCTTGCTTTCTGTCCTCTCACCTTCCAAGTGCTCACAGCTGGTTTAGCTAAACTTCCCCCAGCAGGGGTAGGTGTACACTGATGACAGGAGGAAGAAGAGCATCGAGCTCTTAAGCCTTTATTCCCATGGAAAATGAACTGGCTTGACTCCCCTGTGCCAGTGTTGAGGCTGGTTTCAGTGCAGTGCGCCTGTGTGGCAGGGATCCATGAGGCCTCTAGGGCTGACGGAGCTGGGACATCACTGTGTGCCATGCCGGGTGCTGATGTTTGGGCCTGAAGTTCAAGTGTGAAGCACAATCTGTGCCCCGAGCTGTATTAGAGGCATTTGGAAAGCTTTGATCTAGGACCGGAGAGTCATCCTCTCTGATTCATGATTTCCTGTTCCTCCAGAGCGGTGCCAAGGGACAGAATTCACTTCAGAGTAATACCTAAAGGAGGTTGCACGGAGAGGGATTGTGGACTGCCACATGGGCCTAAAACCTTGGAAAGGTTTCTGTTAAAATCCTTGGATGCTGCCATATGAATTCTTATCACTTTATTCACCCCTCAAGAGCTCTTCGTGGTTTATATGCCACTACGGGGAACCCATCTGTCTACTATGTGCAGTAAGACACCAAGTTCAAAGACAGGTGCTGGGAGGAAGAGCAGAGGAGGGCCTGAGGTGGCACAATGTGGTCCCATCTTTTTGATTGATAGTGGTGAAAGTAACCATAAGCCACCCGGGTTACCCTCTGACTAATGCGCAACTTCTGTTCTTAAATAAACACGAGGCTCTAAAACCTTGGCCTAGATTCAGTGGAGAAAAGAAAGGAGCCACTCTGGCTCTGAGCTGGGGCCCTGTGGACATGTCCTGGCACTAGCCAACAATACCAATCACAGCAAACTCTATGTCCCCTGCATAGACCCCATGGTGCCCAGAATGTGTAATTTTCATTATATCCAAGAGAAACCATAATTAGAGGGATTTCTCAGCTGTGCAACTTAATCCAAGCATTGATGGAGGCCAGGGAGAAGAAAAACTTGGGGTGGGATTGTCCCATCCTCTGAGAAACATTCTGTGAGTGGCATGTTGTCCCTCCTATGCCTCCAAAATCAGCCCCCACCAGGGAACACGTGGAGCTTTGGGCTGCATGTTGAAGCCTTAACTGGTATTGACAGCTCAGGGAGCGGTTTGCCTTCTCTGTTTCATCAGTCATCCTGCCGTCACCACTCCATCAAACAAAAGCAGATTTCATCCATCCCTATGTGGGACCACTCACCTTTGACCATTATTAATAAGTTAGAAAAATCCTTTCCAATTTGAGCCCCTTCTTGGGCTCACATAAGCCCCTCTTCTCCAATTAAAAAAATGTCTGTCTCCACGTGAAATTCCACTGGCAGCGCTCCAATAGCAATCCCCAGGCATCCCTCACTGGTGGTGGAGATGGGTGGTGCCCATTTGACAGAGCAAGTTCACTCAAGAGCAGCAGTGAGAGTGGGCTTTTCATTAAATATGAACAGATGTGAAATGTAGAGGGTTTGACAATTAGAAATGGCAGGAGAAGGGCCCTTGAATCAAAGTGAGGTCAGATGGGCGGATCAGATTACTTCTCTTACATTCTTTAGTTGTTCTGAAAATCATTTTGAATTAGTGTCAGCAGAGCCGTGATGGGTTTTGCCCTTTGTCTTTTATGCGAGGGCTGTATTGTTTCCCAAGACACTTATTAAAGGTCATTATACTATTACGGAGCTGCCTTGGTCGCAGTTTCCCAGTTGAACCAGTGTGCTTTGGAGACTGCCTAATTCATTTCTCTCTTGCCTTTCGTCTCCCTCTTTACTAATATTTTTTTCTTATAAGGGGAAAGATTTCCGTTTTCAAGGGATGTTAAATTGAAACACAAAGTCTCATTATGTGTTTTCTGAAGTGGGAAGAAAAGTAGCTGGTTCCCAGAGGAATGGTAATATATTAAAAGTGTTCACACAGTTCTGAAAACCTGCCTGCTAACAGCAGGGGCTGCCTGCTGGGTGCACCCCTCTTTGGAGGTGTGGCCTATTAACCGTGCATCGGTTGTTAAGTCACGTGCTATGACGATAGTTGTCTCCTGTTGAAGTCAGGAGGAGATGGAAGGCCAGACTGTTGACAAAAAGACCATCAGAGGGGAAGGACTAGATTAGGAAAGACAAAAAAAAAAAAAAAGTGTCAGAAAAGTAAGGCAAATTGAGACTGATAAGGATTCATCACAAAGGGATTTTATTTCTGGCAAGACTGAAGTGTTCAATATGGTAGGCTAGAATCAGCACATAGAATGTCATTTTCTGATCATCTTGGTTTTGTTTCCACTTCATATGGTCCTGGGCAAGAGTCCCAGCTCTCTCAAAAGACACCAGGATGGTATGGGCCTAGGCTTTTTCACAAGTAGCTATGTTCTAGTACTATTAAATGTAAAAAATGTGTGTCTAGCAACATACACACACACGTGAATCTAGAAGTAGATTCCAATCATGACGATTTATTCCCACTATAATTTTGTAAAATAAACCTTTCTGTCTCTTTAGAAGTTTATTCTTGTTATTTCAGTCTTGCCTGCTATCTGATTGCTAAGTGTAATAGAAAGGGACAATTAAAATTATGATGCAGTGACAACGTAGGACCATATTGATTCAAACCTGCTGAGACCGGCCTGACATGATTCCGGTCACAAAGCATCAGTAACTCTGGCACAAACAAATTAATCATGTGGCAGAAGAGAAGCAGACCTTTAGACTTGCACTTGGAACCAGCTTTGGCTAAAGTACATGTGTGATCACTCACACTGACCTTTCAATTTACTGATAGTTTAAACCTGCACAATTACATGCATCCTTTTGCAAACTACTGTAGCTAATTTTAAATTATACATGACTTTTCTTTCGGGTATAAATATAATACAAGAAGGCATTCACCTCCGATGATTAAGCTGAGAGAAGTCCAATACGATTAGGTTGAAGGGAGACATACCAAAATCAGTTTAGTGTAATCTCAAGTCTTGTCAGATAACAAACAAAAATCAGCTTATCCCGAGTAGCCTTTGGTTTGTACAGGCAGAGAATTAACATTGTCAATAGAACTAAAGTCACTTGAGTGAACTAATGGCATTTTGAAGTACATAAAATCAGATACAAGGGCAGGGGGTGGAAACAGCTCTAGGAAAATGTCTGTAACAGGACACACCCTACCCTGACAGTCCTCCACACCTGTTAAAAGGAGCGTTAATTTAATTAGCTGCATTTAAAAATCAACAGCCTATAATTATCTCAGTCCCTTTATGTGCAGTTTTGGGTGACTTCCTCAAACTCCCCAATCCTAACTTCTGTTTCCTTATTTCACTTCTGGGCCCTAAAATCAATGACTCCCCTGTTTCCACCACGACTACCAGTGAGAAAAAGACAGAAAAAGGAGAGCCAAGGATACTAAGCAGAAATCAATGTAATCATACTTTTTCATGTATTCTTTTAATTTAAAGCTCTTTCATCTGGGCCTCCCTTTTTTCTCCTGTCTTCCCATGCTCGCTATGTCGGTGTGAGTGCTCTCTCTCTCTCAATATCCATTACACTTGTGCACACCAAGCACTACCAGAGCCTTTGGCTTCTCCCCTGGCTCTTTAGCTACTCCGGCCCTTGTGTCCTGATTTGACCCTTTGTGCTTCTTTGCAGGAAGTAAAAACGGGGTGGCAGATCGGCCTAAGAGGTCCTAGTCACAGGGGATGGCTCAGTGGCCGCCTAGAAGGGGCCTGGGCTTCTTAGGGCACTCTTGTTGGTGGCAGGCAAGGCTACAGAAGCCA